CAAAAAAAAAACCCCCAAACAAAACCAAAAAACCCAGCAGTGTTCATTTGAATGCACACTACAACCATCTTAGTGTTTTGGTAAAATTTAAACAATTTGGAACGTCCACAATCACACTCCATAATCAGAGCTCACCAACTTTCAGATATTTTTACCTCGGCAAGAGGATCCTAAACTAAGTGTTTGCTATTAAATGTTCTCTTTACAAGTCCCTAACAAAGAGAGGCCAAGTATTTCATGACTTACAAAGAACTTGGAAATCTGTGGATTGGAACCATTCATGGACACGGCAGTGCAAGTGATCTTTACACCTTCCCATATACCCTTCTTAACATCACCTTGTGGTCTTTAGATATAGCCAGACATCCATCCTAATGCGCCCAACTTGTTTTTCAGTGATCTCTGAACTTGTCTGACCTCCAGTGAAAGATGGAAAGCAGGTATATTTAAAAATAATTTCTGCTATATATTTATGTTCAATTGAAGGCAGTGGAACAAAATTCAGTGAGCAAAACGATTCTCCCCAATCAGAAGACTGTAAGTTTCACTTTATACTAGGTTTACCAAGAAACATCATCTGTCTGCAAGGTCTATTTCCTTTTCATTTGTGTGCGTCAACCCCTTGTCTTCAGGTCCTGCAAATCTGGCAGTATATTTCTTTTTCCAAAACACTTTTGGCTTATATCATTTTTCCTTCTTCCTTACCCAAGATTCTTCTATTAGCCTGTTACAAATGGTCACAGGCCTCCCAAACTAATAGAGAGGTCTAAGCAAAGATCTTTAAAAGCCTCCTGGGAGTAAGGAACTTCCTTCTTCCTTCTCTCACAGCTTGTGACAGAGCAACAAACTGAAGCAACAACTTAAGTCCTATACTAACACTCTAACCACTAATCTCCCTGTGTTTTCAAATTAGGCAGCACCACCAATAACAATGTCCACTTTAATTTTAAACTTTGAATTTTGGTAAGATCTGCCCACTTACCCACAACTGCCAAAAAGTGAGATGAGGGGAAAAAGGTTATTCGGAAGTGTTTCAGCTGGAAAACATTGCATTGTAAAAGCCTTACCTACATACTCTTGCTTTCCAGTACACTACACTTAACTATAAGTCTATTGAGCAGCACAAGACTCAATGGAGCATTAGAAAGCTTTATTTAATATCCTTAAATTGAAAAGACTGATCAGGCTTTTCCATCCAGTGTTGAAACTGGAGATGATGTTCATTAGATCAATGGAAATGACTGGCCTCAGGCCATTTGTGTTACACGGTGTCTGTAAATAAGCACAGTTTGATTATTGCTTACATAATTAATAATTCAAGGCACCACACCAAGTAGTGAGCTCTATTATCGCATGCTTGTTTCACACAGCACGGTTTAGTATATGCATATTGCCTACTCTTATGATTTTTGGTGTTGTTCTTAAAGTCTAGAAATGTGAAAAACTTAACTCTTTTTTTATATATATATTTAGAAACACTGTATATGTTAAAACCATGGTACTAAAACTCTGAGTACTTTGAGCAATACCTCACTCTCATTTACAGCTTCTTTGAGGTAGTCTACTTTTCAGAGACCTAGTCTACTAGCAGAGTTCATGCCATTGAAAGTTAAAAGTGTAATCGGAATTTTTTGTACCACCAAAGTTAGGTATCCAGAAGCACTAATGGACAGAACCAGGAACACAGTTCTGTACTAGATGCCAAAACAAAAGCTTAGTATAAGAATAGGGACCTCCTCTTTTGAGGTTTGAACACTGACACTGAGTTATCCAAAAAAAGACAACTATGCCAAAATGCCAGTCTTATTTGAAGCTTTATTTAGTTTAGTCTAACTGGGTCCTTCAAAAAACAAAACAAAACAAAACAAAAAAACCCATCCAAAGTTAACAAATCCATTAGAGAAGTTGTGACAAGTCTACATGCTTACTATTCAAGAGGACTACAAGTGGAGGCTCTTAACCACTATATATTTACTGGTTAAGCCAGTGTATATAAAGCCAGAGTTAGATTAAATTATATGAGCACATCTATTCTCTTCCCTAGCTCAACAAAGTAGTTTTCCTACTATAATTTTTACAGGAAAAAGAATGTTAGTTGAATCTCTCTTTTACTTTAGCCATGGATACATAGATCTTGAAGATACAAACTCCAGGATTCTTTCCGGTATCCCTATATTTATTTTGCTTCCCCTTTGGTGGACAAAAGGATGATACCCCTCTCCTTCTCCCCAAATAAAAGTCAACAATCATCCACATTTCAGAGACTGTTTGATTTCAGGTCCATTTTATAGGGGATTTGATTTTTGTAAAATGTTTATATAATATACACATTATAATAAAAGTCTTTACCTGGTTTATTGCAAAGAATATCTGGTCATAGACATCTCTTTGTGTATATACAGCATAAGTATCATCCATTCTGTCTGTATATCCTTTCAAAAAGAGGTGTTTGAATGCCACAGTGTTCTCCTCCTTGAAGGCCACCACCATTTGATTGCTCAACCCAAAAACTACCAACTGAAAAAGACAAAAAAAAAAAAAAAAAAAAAAAAAAAAGACATCGTGTTTTAATTCCTAATAGAAAACTGGCTTTTGGTGGCTTAGGTCCCTGATGCGTGTTACATTTAAGGCATGATTAACAGATTAATCACACCTTTAATAATAACCCAGTCTGTAACAAGGTGCATGGTTCAGGGGTGAAAGCCCAGCTGCAGAGGGTTAGAGAATAATAGCCAGCATGTCTAGGGGCACTGGGCCAGCTGATAGGGATGACTGGCTGGCCCTGAAGGAAGTTAAAAGCTCCCAGAGAGATGAAACTGGGAAGAAGGGAAGCTGAGAAGAAAGGCAACTGGGCAGCACTATAGCAAAGCCCTTGCCCTGGACAGAAGAGGCAGGGGGCGGTGGATTTTGCTGTTAATTTATTTTTCTGTTTAATTTGAGGTAGGAAAGGGGGACGGCTGGCTCCTGACCCAGGCTAGAGGAGGAACAACCAGCTATATGACCACATGTTCAAGTCAATTTAAAGCAATTAATAAGTCAATTTAATACAGTAAATGAGCCATAAAGTTATTCCCCGCACACTTTGTGACTCAATTGTTTTTAAACTGAACATGTGGCACTGGAGCTGGCCCATGACAGATCCCAGTGCCCAGCTGGGTGTCAGGATCCAACACAGGGAAGCCCAAGGGCTTGGGATATAGCTGTCCCCTACCTACTTGGGCTGGGGAAAGAACAAGTCCCTGGATGCCAGGCCCTGCCGACCCACGGGGGCAGATGGTGGAGGGGTGGTGAGCCTGGTATCGGGGAACATCTCCCCAACATTGGGCTCACTGCACCCCAGACTTTTAGAAATTGTGTATACAGCTGTATTCCACATGTGGTTTTCTGACATCCCCAGTGCCTGGGGACCATAGGATCAAGGAGCCTCTCACCACTCCCTTTGCACAGGAGGAGTCATAAAACTGCATGTTCAGCCCAGTCACAAATACAGTTTTTAAATGTCCCAACATGACAGGACCCCAGGATCCAGAAGAGGCTTCCCAGTTCCAGAGTTCCCATGTTCTAGAAACTGTAAAAGCCACGTGTGCCACCCAGGTGGGGCTTTAACCAGACCCCAGTTCAGTCCCTGGCCTCAGCTAATAATCAACTGGATTGTGGACCCCGAGCTTTCAGCTTGCTGGTGCAGAGGAAGCCTAGGATCATGATCCCAAGCTCCCCCCCTGCACTGGCAAGTAAGGTGCGATTGGGATCTAATCCCCAATCCCAAAATTGCATGTCCTATCATGCCCATGTGGCATGGCGGGAGGAGCAGCTGTTGGAATTACAGATCAGATTACATCATGTCTTTAAGTAAGCATCTGTCAACAGCCTTAGAGTAAAACTCCTCTCCCAATGACAGCCATGGTTTCATCACATTAGAGACTGAACTCTCACTTCAGTTCTTTATTTCATAGTACAGGAAGAAAAACAAGAGGATGTTTGAATTTTCAGCTGCACCCCAAAAAGTAGTTGGTTTAGTAGATGACTCTTTTACTATGGTTATCTTTGTCTCCTCTTGTCATTTCCCATCCAGATAGAGGAGAATCCAACAGTTTAAGAAAACTGTCATCCCCACTCCTCCTCTTTCAATGACCTAAAGGGCAGTACTTGTCTAGTGTCTCTCCCAACTCCACATTTAGTCTAATAAAGGATGTCACCCAAAAACAACCTCTTGCTTCTTGTACATTTCCTGGACCACCATGGCTACAACACTACAACCCTATTTTCTCCTCTCCTGTCAGAGTTGCAAGTCATTACATGAGTTTTGAAAGTAATTGCCAACTTCCAATGTCAATCCTAGTAAAATAAATTGAAAGAGACATTCTGGGACAATATGAAGGGGGGAATGTGGTTGTTCTACCTGTTGTGCACAGGTGAAAGCTACAAAGATTAACGATTATGGACACAACATTCTGCTATTATACTAAAAGCAGTTATTAATATTAGGAGTAAATGACCACACATGTTAGCTATTAATTTTGCAGAGAGAGATTTTTAAAATAATTTTATAGTCTTAATGAAAGCCCAATATTCTCTTCACTGACTTTACTTCCAATGGTCAGAGTGAAGGAAAATTATGAAAAATTGCCATGAAGTAAGGCAGCCAGTCACTAGGCTAAAGGAGATTTTTTTTCCAGATTTGGTGAAACCTGGAAATATAATTTCTAAATGAGGGTAACTAAGTTATCAATCATCCTGACATATCAAATCTTATCTACACAAGGTAAAGCTCTAGAGCAGGGGCAGGCAAAATATGGCTTGCAGGCCAGATCTGGCCCATTAGGCACTTTCATCTGGCCCATGACACCCACCAATTAATTGCATCCCACCCAGCCCTTCCACCCACAAGGGTGGGAGCGAGGTGCCCACATGTACACCCTCCCCAAATGTATCCTATTGCACCTCACTCCTACCCTCATGGGTGGTAGGGTCTGGCCTGGCCAGCAGCCAGCTTCCAGGCAGGGCTGCTGCTGCCACTGCTGCAGCCCCCAGGGACCTGCTCTGTTACCCCAGTCTCCCACTGGCTCCGGGCAGCAGGTAGGGAAGCGGCAGGGGCATGGGCCAAGCTACAGCTGGATGGGAGCATGTAGCGTGGGGCTGGGGCTAGTGGCAGCATGAAGCCCACACCCAGGGGGTGGCAGCAGCATGGAGCTTGGGTGGGCAGGGTGTAGGTGTGAAGGGGGTGGAGTATAGGGACTCCTCCCCACACTCACCCCATTGCACACAGCCCCAGAAGATGGTAGCAGCAGCAGTCGAAGGCACTCGGCTCACTCACGTCCGGCGCAGGTGCTGGTGCCCGGCAGGGCACGGCTCTGGCCAGCACTGCACATCACAGCAAGAGGCAGTCTATTGCCTCCACCAGGCAGTCTATTGCCAGTGCTCCCCACCATGCATGCACAGCCCCAGCACTCACACAGCACAAGAGGGAAGCCCCATACGCTGGAGCCAGCTGCCTTTCCCAGCATTTAGTCAGCAGAAAAGGTGATTTGCAAATCAAATTACAAGGTTGGGTAGGAAGAAAATTATGAAAGAACTGAAGTTTCATTCTGACAGAACTAAATGTGTAAAAAGACAAAGGCCTTATGTAGTATATTTACATTTAATTTTATATTTATTATGACACAATATGCCATAGTTTCAATGCTCTGATGTTCATCAACACAAGAGGAAGCTTCTGTTGATACAGTTGCATTGTGTCAGAGCAAGCACAGCATTTGCCAGTTGCCCTTCTCCAAAATGGAAGCCCCTGCTCCCAAACTTATTTACCTGGATGGTTACCATCACTATTTTTAAAAGCTGAATCCCAAGTTTCCATGGTTTTCTTCCCCGGGCCCAGAATTTCTCACATGGGTTCATGAAAAAAAATTTAAGTTTCCTTCTAAGTTGGTCTTCTAAGAGTAGCTCTTGTGATATAGAAGGGTGCTGTTTGTAGTTGTAAAGATTTTCATCATCATGAGAACTGCAGCTGCTTATAACCACTTCATTATTTTCCATTTCTGGGGAGAGGGAGGAGAGAACAACAACATTGTGCAAGTCAGTTGGGAACAAACATGAACACACACACACACACACACACACACACACACACACACACAATTTCAGATTGTGCTAATGAAACTGAGATCTTGGTTGTAGTCTTCTACAAAACGTTGGCACATTACATTGCACTGAGAGCAAGACCCAAAGTCTTTATTTCATGTCTTTTTAAGAACTGCATTTGTAACAGTTAAGCTTTTGACAAGCCATTTAATTTACATATCAAGTATTAGAACAAAGACTTGGCTGTGAGATTTTTGTCCGGTTGGAGATACAGACTTAATAGCCATACACGCTCTGTTTTCTTCTCACAACAAAGCCACATACAAAATAAATTATAGGCACAAAGCAAAATAGATCAGTGGGGCAGAAAGTCATATATAAATATCAGCTTTCATGGGCACTTGTTATCTATCTCCTAGAGCTACAATTCTGTTGTATAAAAAAAGTAGAACCAGGCTAAATACAAGGTCTTGAAACCCTTTCAAATAAAAAAAGAACATTTTCAGATGCCAATTCTCCTTTACACTAGGCTAAATTTAGAGGTGGCAACTAGTCCAAAACTAAAGTTACTATTACAAGGTCATTGTCTCTTCCAAGAGAGGTAGTTAGACATATTAATCTGAAGTCCATGTTATTACAGGCCAAACCATTGCGCTAAATAATGAGGAGTATAACATCTAAGGTTCATTCATCTGCAATTCTACAATGTCATATACACTATCACCTGATTACAGTGCCCCTCTGCCGTCTACACTGGATAGACTGGATGATCTGTACGGATAAGAAACAGTGAATGCCTGACATCAGTTGCAGAAAGACACAAAGGCCTGGGGCAGAGTACTTTAACCTTCCTAGATATTCCAGCTGCAGGACTGCTCTTCTCCAACAGCAACATTTTAAAAACCAGTTTAAACAGAAAATTGAGAAACAAAAAATAATGCACAGGCTGGATTGCATTAAGTATGGGCTAAACCAGGACTACATATTCATATCTCATTACCTGGAATAGTTTTTATGACCCCTTTGTTCCTATGGATCTTTAACTTGTTTGCCTGCCAATCCCAGCACTCTTTCTTCCCTGCTCCCCTTCCTCTCCCCGCCCTTCCCACCTTTTGTATTCAAGTCGCTCTCAACTTTATACACTGCTCTATGTTTGTCCTTTCACAGCTGCTGATGAAGTGAGCCCAAGTTCATGAAAGCTTATGCTCTATATTGATCTTATTAAAAATGTGCATATCTACTCTGCTTTTCTGCATCTCTTCCAATATTCAGCAAGAGTCCCATTCCAGTGTTGGGCAACTACATGAGACTCTTGCCTTCAATTTAAAGATATTACAGTACATTTCTAACCCTTGTGATTTACAAGGGAAAAAAAGCTTGAAGCATAAAACCTTTAAGCCTGGAGGGTGAACAAGGTGGCAAATAAGTTGCTACCAATTTTGTTTGTTTTAAAATGGTGCTGGAGGTGGTGACTTATTGTGATCTCCAATAATTCTCAAGTCATACTATAGAAGAACCCTGTAATAAGTGTACTTGTAGTTGGAGATTTCTCCACCTACATCTGCTATATTGTAAGAAGGAACTGAATAAAGATTTACTTAATTCCATGTTTTATCAGAAAAAGTTTCTTACTATCATGTTTTGGAGCAACTAGGTCAAGAGCTTACAAAATTTAAATTCTCAGAAAACTTATTTTTAATACGTGGACAAGGTAGAGTTTTGCTTCAACTAAAATTGAGAAGTTAAAATTTGTTTCCTCTCATTTCTATCCTCATTTCTGTCCAAATTTTTAAATATACTTGAGGCATGTTTTAAAATGGGCAAAAGTCAGTTTTTAAAGCTACACGAGCCACAAAGCCTTCATTTCAATCTCTGATTCCAACTACCAGATTTCCTTAAAATCTAAGCACAATTCAAACATCAAAATTCAAACTTCAACTTTGATGGTAGTCATTGTACTCTATTAAACACAAGCATTTGAAATACCATGCAGAGCCTTAATTCCCCAAGAAACAGGTAATATCTTTTATTCATCTAATTATATACTTGTGAGCTATGCTGGACAACCTTTTGGGCACAAAATGCCCCTCCTCAGGTAACATCTACCACTGTCTCTCCCCAGATTATTGTTTATTGAATTAGTCCTATAATTGGGATCTAACATGGGCAGTGTTAGGGTACTTTATACACAAGAACTTGTCTAACATTTCTTCCAACTATATAAATCAAACTATTTCTTACATATGCCCTGGGACGACCCAGGCTATAAACACTCCAACCTTCGTTTCCCAGACAGCAGACAAACTGTAAAAAGAACTTCAAGTCCTGAAACTTTTGGGTTGTTTTTTTTACTGGACATCACAATAATAAGCTTTAATATAAAACAGGAGCTAAAACATTAGTACTTATTGTAAATCAGTTTCAATATTCCAACTAGGTAAAATTTTAACTTAATATAGCTAATTGGCAGATCCTAGCTCCCCAGCCTCAAAATAGGTAGAGGCCATAATTACATATAACAAATATTTTTCACTCATTAACATTCAAGCAGACTATCAGGCATCAAACTTGCAATATTGACCTATATACTGTATTTAAAACACTCAACACATATTTTTCTAGTCTCCTCAACACTTTCCTCCACCCCCACCATTATAAAAATTAAAGGAAGCCAAGTTCTTTTAAGAACCATATCTGTAATTTAGAGAACAGCAGCAAGAAAGTGTTGTGGAAGAGTGACTTCTATTAATCAAACATCAATATATTTTGCAGTCCAAAGCTACAAGTAGAGATAATACCAACAACCACACATAGAGATCCATCTCCAGTGATGCAAGTCAATGTTCTGTTGTCCTGAGAATAAGGGACAGACATCTGTTTTAGAACAGCCACATTTCCTAATCCATAGGAGGCCAAGGACATTTGAATACATATTTGGGATGGAGATTTCCTGGGTAATATGCTATAAAAGCTTTCAGGACCATGGCTGAGTTTATACAAGGACTGTTACAATCAAATGTTTCACAGAAAACTTGCATTGATTTCAGCAAAAAGTAATGTGCAGCTAGGAGTGTAAGATTAGGTAGTCAGTACTGCAGTCCATATAGATTCAAGAAATTGCAAGCGTTAAACTCTAACATAGCTCTGAATATCTTTGGATGAGGGTGGTTTTAATCCAAGTATATTTAGATTTTAAAAAAAATCCAGTAGCCTATAGTCTAGGGCTCAGAGAATCACATTATGGTACAGAACCACTACCAACTTTGATTCCTTCAACATCTCAATTAAAAAAAAATAGAACAAAAACAACAACCTATAGTTGCATCTTTCAAAACGGTTTACAGCAAGAGTAGGCAATATATGGCCTGTGGGCCAGATACAATCCCTTGGTAGGCTGTATCTAGCCCTCAGCAGGTCCCTTAGCCTCACCCAGCCCAGGTGCAGGGGAGGCAACCCAAGCCATGGTGCATGCAGCTGGTCCCATCGCTCCAGGGTTCAAAGAGGGGCTGAGGCAGTGCAGCAGCTGGACTTAGCTTCCTGGCAGTCCTGGTGGTGGTGGCTCCTTCCAGAAGTCACTGCCAGTGTCACCACTGCTTCCAAACTTGCCTCCCACCCCTGCACCATTGCCTGGGCACCCCAGCCCATCTGCCCTGCACCTGCTGCCAGAGCTACCACACTGCCTGGGTGGGCAAGCATGGTCTTCATCTGGCCAGGACCCCTGCAGGCAGGGCACACTCAGCTTGGTCAATAAGATGGGGCCATAGGCAGCAGCATCTGAAGCAGAGACTGGAAGCAGGACAGGTTGGGGCTGGGGCACTGACAGACCCAGGCCATTCAGGGAATGGATCACAGCTCTACCCTAGGTCCTGGCCTTGTGGTGTCACCACTCCAAAATCCCTGACCAGGCCCAGGCCCCAGCCTGTCCCACACTCATACCACTCCCCACCCAGGTGCAGCCCCATCCCATCCCATCTGCTGGGCTGAGCATGCCCTACTTAAAGGGGTCCCAGCCAGTCTCCATGAACACCCTGCCCGCCCACCCATCTGCTCTGTCCAGCACCCCTGGCAGTGGGTACATGGCAGACAGGCACATGCCACATAGGAACAATTGCACCCCTCCCACCCCCATGCTGGGCCAGGTCAGCATCCCCCCCCCACAACAGGTCACTGAAACTCTTGAAGTGGCCCTCCAGCCCAAATAATTGCCCACCCCTGACTTAGTGACACCAAGTATTTTTCTCCCACCAGGAAGGTAAATCTTACTGTATGTGGCTGCAAGTACCAACATAGAAACATGCTTTTACAGACATAAGGTTACAAGTTTGTTGATTTGTAATGGAAGTCACCACTAGAAATGCTAGGCACAGTTTGTACAACAGCAACTACTGTCATAGAAATGACTTTCCACAATCCCTTCTCAAAACAAGGAGCACACTCCTTTCAGCTAATTTAAGGAAACCCTGGCTCATGAGGACAGGCTCAGCTGTGTTGCTTGAAGCAACAAAGAATTGAGGAGCATGAGTCAGTGGTTTTCTTTCCAACACCTCATACAGATGGTCATTGCTTGTGGAGCTAAAGGAACTAGCAAGTGTCAGAGTCCAGGAGGGAATCAAACAGCTCCCAGCCCTGATTGTAGTCGTCTTTTCTTTCTCAGCCTTCTTCCCCTACCAGAGGGACACTGCACAACCACTGACCTTCCAGAGAATTACGATAGAAATACTGCATTTCGCAGTCTGCTCCTCTGACTCTCCCCTCCATGATCCCTTAGTTGTTTTCCTCGGGGCAACATCAGTTAAAGAAACTGATACAGTCCCTTACTGAGCAGCAGCAGCAGTACTAGCACATTATTTATATAACCTGCCGCTCAGCAAACTGCCTGGAGGAATCTGATTAGCATCTCTGCGAAGTGTCAGGACACCTGATGCCAATAGCCAGTGCAAGCAGCAGCCACCTACCTGCAAGCAGCAACGGCAGAAACAGTGCAAATTGCAAGGTGGATGATGGTGATAAGGTGCCTCTGGGTTCCTGGCTGGCTCTGCCTTTGCTGCCCGGCTTCCAAAGGGAACAAGAGAGGAAGTGCTGGAGGCAGTGCGCAGCCCAGAGCTGGTCTGGGACTAAGTGATGCGGCACCAGCAGCATGTGACTGACACACACCTCCTCCCACAGCCAGGCTGAATTTCACTGAGATCCGAGTCCTCTTAGCCAGCATTTTCCTTTTCTTTATCTACATCAGCAGAGCTCCAAACACCATACAGTGTCAAAGATTGTATGTGCTGGCCCCACACACCACTGAAGTTCAACATCAGGGACCTGTTCTAACTCCTCTTGTCTTGTGGCTATTTTACAAGGACACTGTAGATGCAAAACAAACTAACAAAACGTTGGAGCAAAGAGACCTAATTCCCTCCTGATATTACCAATAACAACTTAGATCATTAAAAGGGAAAATTTTCAAAATAAATTTTAGTTTTCATCACTTATGCAGTTTCATACTCAGGACCAGTCATTTCCATTATTTGTATTCTTTTTCCTTTCCGATCTTCTGTAAGATGGTGTTTGGGTTGCAAACACTGCAGAGAAATACATATTGCTTTAAACATCCCATTGAAATCAGAAATTATTAAGCCATCAGAATTTTGAATTAAATGCTGTTTCTGTTAACTTGTACAGTGTAGCAGCTTTTTCTTATAAAAATTATATTTGAGTCTAAACATCAAGTGGCATTTTTAACTATGCTTTGGGCTGAAATAATGTGTTGTAAAAATACTGTTTTGCATCACACAGTGGACCGGGTGAGACAAAGGATAGCTGGGATGTATTCCTGGCCGTGCCCCTAGGAACGGTTTGACTTTGGCCAAGTGACTCTTTTCTGCACCTAGCAGCGGGGCTCCTGACTCACCATCTCCGCGGGGTGTTGTGAAGACAAAGCAGATGAAGCAAAATGCTTTGAGGCAGTTGGATAAAAGGCCATACAACCACCAACATCCTTGTTTTATGAATGTTGTGAGAAACACCATGTGTCTGGGTGCATGAAGACAGTTTTCCTTAGGCGTTCCCGGGGATAACTGTTCTTCTGGTGTGGTTTAGTACCTGCCGAGGTGTTGGGGCTTGAAGCCCACTTTATGGAAATGGGAGATTTCTCCCTAGCTTGCTTCTGCAGCCATATGGCTGAGCGCAGGCGAAACTTGGGGGCCTGGGCCTGCGCGTAGGATGTCTGCCAAAAGACTTTGGAAATATCTGATGCCCTTGGTTGGGGTGGAGGATGTTTGCGGGTTGCAGGGTCACTTATGGTTCTGGACCAAGTCACGGATTTGGACTTGATTTGGCTTGGCACACAAAAAAATGTCCTAACACCGCCCCCAAAAACCCTGTATTAAAAACACACTGCAAGAGCCCTTCTCCAGGAACGTCACACACGTACTGTAGTGGTAATGCTGCTTTTGTATTGCTTCCAGTGCTCCTACCTGGGCTCAAATACTGCTCTGTGTTGTAATTATGATCTCGGTCTTTAATAAAATCCCTTCTTTCCAGCTGAAAAAAAAAATCACAGTGAGGAAGGGCCTGTGCGAGGCAGCGAGGGCGCTGAATGGCTCGCATTGGGGACTGCTCTTCACCAGAGGTGGCAATTATCATGCAGTACAATTCACCTATTGAGGTGCTTGGCCAGGCTTCAAAGAGAGCCTGTCCTCTGCTGAGGGCAATCGCTGCCCGCAGACAACAACAATTATCAAGAATAAGCATCGTCATCATCACCCTTGTTATTAACAGCAGCCATGTCCACAATAACACAGGTCTTTGCCTAAACGAGGCGACGTGGCAGTGGGAGCGGGCCGTGCCCTGCCCTCCACACGAGCCGTCCCGCCCCGGCGACTGGGGAGGCGGTAAGGGCCGGGCCGGGCCCGCCAGGCCTGACATCGCGACCC